TATCCCAGCATGGTTCACTATTGCCTGCAGCGTGCCAGAGATTGTCAATTCTATCCGAAAGCGGTTCCGAGCGGCCGCGGAGCTTCCCGGGGGCGTCCCCGAGAGGTTATCATCGTTCGAGCGCAACATGGAAATTCATGATTTGTCAAGTTGTCGCTTTTTGCTGCCGACGGGCCCCGCGGAGCTCAAAGGCGCCATCAGAATGGCCTGGCAAGCCCCGCGAGGCGGCCCCGAGCGCGCCAAAGAGCACCCCAAGAGCGCCTCAATAGGTCTCGAAGAGGCCATTCTTCCGCCTCGGAGGGGCGGAGAACAATTGGACCCCCCCCGAGACATCTTCCAGAGCCGCCCGACCTCAGAGATTCTCGATTCATTTTCGCCCGATGTTACCATCGTCCTAGCTTCGTCTTATCAAAAGCGGATCTGGGGCGAAAAACTACAACCGGGGAAGAGGTCAAGGGAGCTTTGGGGCCGCGGAGTGGGAAGGACATGTTGGAGGATGTCTGTGTTGGTCGGCGGCTGCAGCGGGGGATTACCCAGGCGGGGCATGACATGTATCCAGCGGCTCTGGTCGCACTGCCTTCGATGATTGTACCCGGCGAATGCGTGTAATACCCGCCAATGGGGCTACCCGTCCTTTTTGGATCCGCCGAGCGTAGCGAGTGGATGCTGGATCGCCATGAAGGACAAGGATCCTGAGGGAAACGGGTCCTGAGGTGTTTCTCATTTTTTTGGCTCCTTGGGCCCCTCACATGCCCCTCGGCCGTCAAAAGATTATCGTTTGGTGACGCCACTGGGGCCCGCGGAGGGCTCATGCTGAGCCGAGTCAGGACGAACAGCTGGTCCTGGGGAAAGCCTCCAGGTCCAGGGCCGTTTCCATCCAAGACCCGTTTTCCTTCATGGCAGCGGCGGGTGTGAGAGCAAGGAGGCCACCGACGCAGCATTCGCGCGGAAGGGGAAGGTGGAGGGCAGGGAGGACGATCGGCGGGGGAATCGGAAGGGGAAGGTGGATCCGCAGGGTCACCCGCAGGGGGCCCGAGGCCAGCCGCGCGTCGCGCCGCACGGTTTCCGCATGCTCATGCCAAGCATCTCTGCGCACGGCGTGGCCGTCCTCCTCCGCCTCCTCCTCCTCCTCCTCCTCCTCCTCCTCCTCCTCCCTCGCCCCCCTCACGCCAGGCCCTCTGTGGCGCGTGTCTGTCCCCGTCGCGCGTCACTCTGCCCGAAGGTCCCACACGACCCGAGGTGTAGCGAGGGCGGCATGCCAGCGCAGGCCGGCAGGGTCAGCAACAGCGCGCGCTCCTGCTTCCCCTCGCTTATCTGCGTTTAAGCGCTCCACGGGCGTTCCTCCGCCCGCCGAAGCGCCCGACCGCAACGGTCGCAACGGGGCGCACCCTAGAGTGCGCGAGCGAGCGAGCGAGCGACGAGCGAGAGCAGGCGGCAGCCAAGCCAGCGGCGAAGCCAGCAGCGGGCAGGCGGCAGCAAGCGGAAGGGAGGAGAGGACACACATTCTCTCGAGCCTCCTTGTGCCCTCTCGCCAGGCTTAGGTCGGGCCTGTCCCCCTGCAGGCGGATTTTGGGCGACAGATTCGAAATACCCCAAACATACCCCGAACAGATTCAGAAATGGCCCAACGAATCGTCTCTCCGCACGATTTGTTTTACGATCTTTGAGCGTTTCTCCTGCAGAGGGACAGGCCCAACGTTAACGCCAGGCCTCAGGGGCCGTCACGACAGGCGGCTCGGGATGGAAGGCCGGGCCCCCCCTCCCGAGGGGTCCACGCCGTGGACAGGTTGCGGTAATTAGTGTTGCGACGGCGTCCGGATGTTGTTCGGGAAGGGCGGCGGCGCGGTGCTCTCCGTGGGTCGGCCCCGCAGCGGCACGGGTCCAGCCAACGGGGGGAGAGAGAGAGAGAGAGAGAGAGAGAGAGTCAGAGGAGGAAAAGGTACCCATACGTCTACCCCCTCGCCCGTTTTCCCCTCTTTGGGCCTCCTGGGAGGCCCTCGTCGCCGCCGCTGGATTCGCCTCGCAGTTCCGGTCAGAACGCACCCCGGGAGAGGTCCGGGGAGTAGCGGTATCGGTGCTTTGTGGTTTCCCCAGACAGAGAACAAAGAGAGAGAGAGAGAGAGAGAGAGAAAGAAAGAGAGAGAAAGAGAGAGGGAGAGAGAGAGAGAGAGAGAGAGCGAGATGGCACGCTCGACACCGCGCTTCGCAAAGCAGACGGGCTCGGGCCCAGGGTCAAGCGACAGAGAGGTGCTGTGTGATATTTGTTGGGTTCAGGAGGGGGCGGCTCAAAGTGGATCTCAAGACTGGCGCAAGGCGTAAGCTTGGTGCGCTCAGCTTGTCAGAGGAGGGAGAGTTGAGACAACAGTATTTGGCCTTGGGGTGGGGGGGCCTCGTCCCCACGGCTGGACTCATCTCGGAAAACTCGTGCGTTTGGACCCCGGGAGGAGTCCCGGGAACGATTTTAAGTTGCCGTTGTCTCAACTCGCCCTGCTCCGAGCTTGGCACCCGTGCCGCAGCAGCGATGCCGGAGACGCTGGAGATCAGCAAGGAGGCGGTGTCGGGCAACGGCACGCTCGAGAACGTGGGGATCAAGCTGGATGGCCAGTTCAAGTGCCCGCACTGCAGGCAGGCCTTCTCGGATGACAAGGCCCGCCAGCTCCACCTGAAGTTCCAGTGCCCCACTGCCATCGCCAAGCAGATCAACCCGATCGGTGACTAGGCTCTGAGAACGGCTCCAGTGATCGCGCTCTGACGGCGATCGGTGACTCGGCTCCAATAGTTGCCAGCTTCAGCACCTTCGAGAGAGCGAAGCGTGTCTTCGAGCGGCAGTGTGTACGGGAGGGGGTCGGGGAATGAGGACGGCGAAGAGGATACCGGGCTAGTCGAGATTTTGTCAGACACCTCGGCCATGCCAGCTCAAAATGGTCTCATGCCTGTTAGTTGTCTTGTCCAGAGCAGACAGGAGGTCGCTCGGATCGATTGCTTGAGTGGGAGCCGAAAGTTGAAAAAGCTGCCTTCAGGAGGTCCACGCGGATGTCTTGGGCCATCGCCGACCCCTCCTGGTCGGTCCCGTCAGCCCCCCAAGGTACCTCCTGCCTCTAGCTGCATTCCAGCAGCTGCGCCTCGCCGAGGGCGTTCCGGGAATGCCTGGATGGCCCCGAACGCCCGCCGGAGAGCCACAGGATGACCCCAACGCCGGGGGAGGGAGGGAGTCGGCCGGGCCGCACGCAAGAGCGGCCTCCCTCGCCAGAGTTCTCTTTGGGCCGCGGCCTTCGGGCGGCGCGGCGGGGGGGGGGCACTCTCGAGCACGCAAGCCGCCACCTGGTCGCACCGCACCGCAGCGGTCGGCAGGCCGCGCACCAGTGGTCACTCGTTCGGCCCCGGGCCTCCCGGAGGAGCGACGCAGAACACAGAGGTCGCCTGCATCGACGCTGGCGCGTATAGGCTGCCCTCGCGTCGAGTGTGGCGTGCCGCCCGGGGGGCCCGCGCAGGCCACAGCGCAAGGTCGCTGCGCCATCTCGCGCAAGACCCGTTTTTGACCGTCGCTCCGCTCAAGCCTGAGCATCGCACCGCATCGCCGATGCATCGCAGACACATCGCCGAGGCGTCGTCGACGTTCGGCGTCTGCGATGCACCGGCGACGTCGGCGGGGAGAGCGTCGGGCTCCGCGTCGAGGCGCATCGCCGATGCCTCGGCGCTGCGGCGCCACCCTCCGAGCCGACGTGCTCGGACCCCATCTCGGGACGCTCTTTGTTGCCGCAGGGTCACCCGCAGGGTCACCCGCAGGGGGCCCGAGACCAGCCGCGCGTCGCGCCGCACGGTTTCCGCATGCTCATGCCAAGCATCTCTGCGCACGGCGTGACCGTCCTCCTCCTCCTCCTCCTCCTCCTCCTCCTCCTCCTCCCTCCTTGTCCTCCGCCCTTCTCCGCCCTGCTCCGCCCCCCTCCTCCTCCGCCCTCCTCCGCCCGGGGGCGAAGCGCGTCATCTTCGAGCAGGCCCAGAAGCCTGGAGCGCAGGGGCCCTTTCTGAAGCCAGGAGCCGCCCGCCGGGGCGGGAGAGCTGCCCTTCTCCAGTCGGTTGCTGCCTCAAGTGCTGCCCTTCTCCAGTCGGGGGCCCCAGCTTTTCCACGGAGGCCCAGATGGCCTCAACACGCGGCCCCCCTCGCGAGGCAGAGGACCCTACTCCCAGGCGGCGCCAGGAGTCGGAGGCATCTTGGGCCGTGGCCACCGCTGGCAGCCTCCGATCCAGGGTGGGCGCGCGAGGGCGTGAGGTGGCTGGCGCAGCGCGGGGCGCGAGACCTGGTGACCAAGGGGCACAAGGATCGGATCGGGCGGCAGGTGGGGGATAGGGAAAGGGACGCGTACGGAATCTGCTGCATGCAGATGGTTTCGGCCCCGCCGCCGGGCGCTTTCCTCGAGACGCTGGGCGCCTCCAGCGCCAGCAGGCGCCGGGGGCATCCCCTTTGACTAACCCCTCCGCCTCCCCTCGTCCCACTTCCCTTGATTGACGAAATCCCCACTGACTAATCCCTCCCTTGACTGAACCCTCCCTTGACGAACCCGCCTTGGTTAACCCCTCATTGGCTAACCCCTCCCTTGCGTGAGCTGCGCGAACCCCCTCTTGACGAACCGCCCCCTGGTCCGACCGGGCGGGTGCGGAGGGGTCACGTGCAGAGGGGAAGCGAGAGGTGGAGGCGGCCGCGCGGGGCAGCACAGGTAGCCACGGGCGCACTGACGGGTTGTTCCTCCTCGGAATGTAGGGCAGGATGGAGCACAGAACGGTCGGGAGCCGTGAGGCGGGGGCCAATGCGAACGGGGGTCAGCCAGAGCGCCGGATCTTGCAGGGTCCTGCAGAGACAGGGTTGCACTGACCCAGGCTGTCGCGCAGGATCCTGCAGGATTTTGCAGGATCCTGCAAAGCCCGAGTGACCCGGGTTTGCATCGATCTGGGTCAGTAGATCTCCGATGCGAAAGTTGTCGTGACATTCCTGGTGCGTGCGCAGCCGCTCTTGCCCAAGACCCGGAAGGCCCGCCTTGGTGGTGTAACCCCTCCGAGAACTTCGCCTCCCCGCCAGTTCAGGCACCAGACATGGACCTGCAGCGGGCACCGAGGGTGTTGCTCGAGGTGACCTCCGCCGGCGAGATCACTTACAGCCTCCTGACCGCAGACAGCAGGCGTCGGACCACGCCCCGCTCCGCGGCGCAGGCCAATGTCTCCCTCCGCAGCACGAGCCTGCGCCGCACGGAGGCCGAGCTCGAGGAGGCGTCTTCACGCGAGCGCGCCCAGGAGTGCCGCGGCGATCGCACGGGCTCCGCGCGGAGCGAGCCTGCAGGCCGTCCGACGTTTCCGTCCCCAGGGCGGGTGGCACAGCCCTTGCAGAAGGTTGAGGGCAAGGTGGGCAAGGCAGGCTCGGTAGCAAACCAGGGGGGCCTTGTATACCGTCGCAGCTCCGTCTTTCGCGAGCATTAGCGTCGACCAGCGTCTGGTGGTCAATGGGAAAGTGCCGATTTAGCGTCGATCAGTGTCGATGAAGCGTCGATTAGTGTCTATTTAGCGCTGGTGAGCGTCGATCAGCGTCGATTAGCGTCGGCGAGCGTCGATTCGCAAGGGCCAGCAAGGTGGCATGGGAGGCTCCCATGAGTTGGCACCGAAGGAGGGAACGCGGCTTCCAGCGGCGTCAGCCGATCGCACGGTTCGCCGAGATAGTCTGTGCGAGACGTTGCCGAAGATCGTCGCGGGCGGCGAGCGGCACTCCGCAGGAGCGGTTTCGCCGAATGTGAAGCGCCGTGTATATTCGGTCGCACTGTAGAGTTCGGCTGAAAAGACTGACGGGCTGCTCGCTGGGCTTTTAAGGTCGCCTCGTGTAGCTGTCTGCGGCCCATACATCGGCCAACCAGAACTTCAGGCTGCACAGCACAGACATCATTTTCCGACTGTCGGCCAGCATCTTGGCCACTGTTGGTGTGAATCGGACAGGTTCAGCAAATACCAGAGTCTGTCTCCGCTCACATACTTTTGGGTGCAGTGCCAGCATGCAAAGCGGTATGGCACTGCTGGCATCACGCAGGGGGAATAGAACAGGGACAGGGCGGGGGTTGAGGCTGTCAGCCCATGCGGGTGGTGCACGTTGATTTTTCATGATTGCCTGTCCTGATGACTTTACTTTGGCGAGCCTGAACATACACGCTGTCATGCAGGGGCTTCGTCCTTTCTCCGTTCTCCTCCTCCTCGTCCTCATCCCGTCTTCCTCGTCCTCATGCCCCGGATGGCCGACTGAGCTCGCGCCGCGATCTGAATCCGAGGGCATCGGGCATCCAGCGTTTGTATATTCCTCAGGCTGCACCCTTCATCCGCTGAACCTGGTGTTGCTTCCCCCTCTGCGCGTGAGAAGGCTGGGGGATGGAGTCCGCGGAATACGCATTATTCTATATGATCCAGGGTCTGTCATGCTGCTGCCATCGCCCCCCCCCTGCGCGATGGTCCCCCCCCGTGTGGGTGTGGGGTGGTGGGTAACTAGTGGTGTCGGTCGGGCCCTCCTGCACAGGAGGAGCAAGAGGAGGAGGAAGAAGCAGGAGAAGGAGGAGGACATCAGACGACGAGGAGGCGCGGGAGGGAGGGGTGAGAAGGGGGACGGAGGGAGGAGGAGAGGCAACATCGTCGTCGACGGTGTCTTCCCCGTCGTCGCCTCCCTCTGGGTGTGGCGTGGTGTTGCGGTATTTCAGGGAGCCGGAGCGGACGGTGTCTTCGTCGTCGTCGTTGTCGTCGTCGTCGTCTTCGTCGTCGTCGTCCCACTCACATCCCATCTGGGGGGGGGAACGGCCCGAGGTAACCTGAGACCCACCCCAAGGGGGGGGGGGCAGTGGGCCCAGAGCCCGGGATCATATACATATATATATATATATATATATATATCGGAGTAGGGCCCCGGGGCGGTGCCTGTCATCTCCATGGGGGGTGCAGGGCGCCCCCCGGGAGCGTCCGAAGCGTCCCGGAGGGCCCCTGGGACCGCCAGGAACAGTTCGAGACCGCCCAAGACGGCCCGCGAGCGCTCCAAGACGCGCATAGATAGCCTCAGGAATGGCCAGGAAGGCCCGAAGACGTTCCAAGAGAGCTCAATGAGGCCCCGAAGGCATCCCAAGAGGTCCCGACAAGCCAACATCGTTGATGTTTATTGTGTTTTTCGAGGTTTTTGGCCTTCTCGCTTATTCGGGGTTCCGACGCTCCAAGGCCGTCCAAGAGTCTCCCAAAACCGCTCCAAGACGGCCGAAGAGGCCCCCCAAACCGCCCCAAGACGGCCCAAGAGACCCCCCAAATCGTCCCAAGACGGCCCAGGAGAGCCCCAAGATGGCCCAGGAGCCGCCCAAGACGGTTCCAGGAGTGCCCCGACAGGGCTTCAAGACTGCCTAAGCGAGCCCAGCCCTGGCCATTGTTTTCCCCTAGTTCTTAGGGTTGGGATTTACCCTACTTTTCGGATATGATTTCTTACCCTACTCCCCCTACGTTTTTTACCTCATCTCAAGAATAATTTACCCTACTTTCTCATACAACATTACCCTACTTCCCCTACATGTCCTTGCCCTACTTACCCTTCTTACCCTACTTACCCTACTTACCCTACTTACCCTACTTACCCCAACGTTTTGCACAGATCGTCCTAACGTACCTGATTATCCTTTAAGGGGTCGGCTGATATTCACAATTGAAGTTTGGAATGGCTCCGTGTTGCGCGGTAGGGAGAGAAAGGGGGACAGACAGAGAGGGGGAGAGAGAGAGAGAGAGAGAGAGCCCTGCCGCGCGGGCCGCCCCTGGAGCGGCGCGACAAGGACCGCCCCCGCACCCTCGCGCACGCTGCAGCGAGAGAGGGGGGGAAGCAAGAGGGAGGGAGCAAGACGAGGAACAGAAAATATGACTAACGTGAAACCAACGCGGGGAGGCCCCAGTCGGGCCGATCGTGAAACAAAAAGGGGGACGTTGGTGAAGGGGGCAGTCGTGAAACGATGAAGGCCTGAGCGGAGTAGAAGAAATATTGCTTTGCATTTCATTGCGTTCGCATGGCATTGGAACCGCATGGCATTGCAATCGCATTGCAACTCCGCATAGATTGTACCACGTAGATGGTACCACATAGATTGCACGGCATAGGTTACATAGCGCGCAACCAGTACGACCTAGAGATCACACCACATAGATTGGAAAACGTAGATTGCACACATTTAATACACAACGAATGTTGCACTACATAATTTGCACCAAACGCAGCTCACACCACATTGATTACGCCACGTGGCTGGCACCACACATGTTGCACGGCAGCGATACTTCAAAACACCATGCACCAACACCTGAAACAAAAAACACATCCACGATATTTATAATGTCGCACAACCTGCACCGCATACCAACACCACATGCGTTACACCACATAGCTTGCATCAGAAAACTCGCGCCGCATAGATTGCACCACATATATACAACGCGCTGTTTGGGGTCCACGTTAGAACATCAAACCGTTGACCTCGTTGTCCCCGTCGCCAGCCGTAAACAGGATGGCTCAAAACAGGCAAGCACATCCATATGGCGCCGTTGGCGCAATTTCTTCTCGCATCATTAATTTGCATGAGTGGCGCTCTTCCCGTTGAGCCTCGCAAGAGGCGAGTTGCAAACCCTACGGTCTCGGCTCTAGCTTACTCCCAGGACTTGCTGCATGTACTCAATCAGAATGGCATGAGTGGTTCCGTGGATACTATGTATGGGCCTTTCGTTGACAAATCGCATGAGGTGACATCAGCGAATCTCATCAGGAATATTGCATTGGCAAAACAGCTCTTACGAGCTAATCCAGACGGTGTTCTTCACGGCGCGCGCTTGGAGTCAGCATGGAAGCTTGTATTTGCAGAAAAAAACACACTTAGTACCAGCAGACACGAGCTCAAACGTCTTGGCACACAGAGCGACGAACAATCTCATGGCAGTGATGAAAGTACTACGAACGATTCAGAAAGAGGAGCAAAACACAGCGGCCGAACACAATAAGTGGCACAGAAGATACCCGAAGACAGGTGCACTGAGACGGCGTTTGTCAGTTGCGGAATGGGCAGTGATACAAGAGACATTGAAAGGTTTGAAAGAAGATTGCGGTGTTTCTGAGACTGGCACAACGCCAGAAAAACAGCCCGTGGACGTGGACGATGCTGGCTTCCCTACGTGTTTCACGCCAGATGCGCCAGAGATTTCAGCAATGCCGTCTTCCTCGGGGTCGCTTGACGGCCGTGTCGCCGACGATTCCGGGTTGCCCAGCATATTTGCACCAATCGATCTCGTGCCAGTGCCAACGCCGAACCAGAAGAAACGCCTCGATAAGATCCGCAAATTGAAAAAAGAGAGGGGCACGACAAGAGAGAAAAAACAGACTGCAAAGAAACGCGTAGGGAGGGCTCTGGATGGCCCCCCCCCCAAGGGGACCGCGCGGCTACCTTGGAACGGCACCCCCAAGACCAGGAATGCCGTGTACAGTGAGGCGCACGGCAAAGAGAAGACGAAGTGGATCCAGCGAGGCAAATCGACAGCATTTGCTCTGAGCAAAGCACGGGTCGCGGGCAAGTTGGCAGGCAAACGGTGGGACGATATTTATGCGCAGACATTTTCGTGAGTGTCTATATTTCATATTTACGTGAGACATTGTCGTGAGACATTTTCGTGAGACATTTTACGAGCAGAGGCCTTGACAGGAGCAACTGAAAAATAGAATTGCCAGCATCACCGTCACTATGCCATTGTTCAGGGTATAGGACTTCACAAGCATACCATCATCACCATCATCATTACCAGGACCATCGTCACTACCAGCATTACCATAATCATCAGCATTACAATCGCAACAATACCATGCATCATTGCCATCGTTACCAACATCCCCATCAGTATCATCATTATCATAATGTTCATACGTGTACGGTGTGGGTTCACGCGCACATCGAACCTCGAGTTCTGGACAGCCGCGGTGCCTAGAGCGGGATGCAGTTCCCTGCGAGAGGGTGATGTTGCATTGTGGTGGTCCTGGGGCCCTCTGGGAGGGCCTGAGTGCCCGCGACCCAGTCCTGGCGGGGGAAAGTGAATTCCCACACGCGGCGCTCGCGTGTGGGAATTAGGTTTCGCCCCAAGGTTCCCATGTGTTTTGCTGGTTGCCACCGCATTGTTTCGTTGAGCGAGGGTCCTGGTCCATCAGGGAAGGCCCACCAGAGCAGGGTCAAAAGGTCCTCCTCCTCCTCCTCCTCCTCCTCCTCCTCCTCCTCCTCCTCCCCTGCCCCAACATGTTTCAACGTGATTAGAACCATGTTGCGCACTCTTTCCTTTTCCTTGGTCTGATCCCCGTCCAGAGCTAGCCAGCACTCGAGTGTTGGCGATCGCCACGGCCGATGTGGTGCAACGCTGTCTCGGCGCCCTGATGCTGTTGAGAGGGGTAATGGTCCTCCACCTCCTCCTCCTCCTCCTCCTACTCCTCCTCCGCCTCCTCCTCCTCCTCCTCGTCCTCCTCCCCCCCCTCCTCCTCCTCCTCGACGGTTCTGGAAGATCACCGCGGTGCCTCCCCCAGCAGTAAGGGCTTCCTGGCGTCCAAGAGCGTTTTCGGGCACAGTTAACACTGGGCGCTCTCCTCCCTCCTCCGTAGCCATTTTGGCTCAAGTCATTCGTGTATCAGTGGGCTTGACATTGCGATATCTTTCTGTTCGTGCCTCGGTCTCTGGACCGTCGCGATGCCCCCCATGAAGCGCCCGTCTTCGAAGCCCGTTGTTGTCAGGAAGCCCGCGGCCGCCGCGAGTGACTTCGACGTGGTCCGCAAGCCATCAGCTGTGGATTGGCGCCAGTACGACAAGGAGTGCGACGCGAACTCGAGCCAGAGCGCCCCCTCCGACAGCGACTCCGAGGCGAATGCCGAGCCCGACCTCAGCAGCAAGCGGGCCAAGACTTCGTCTGCAGTCATCGTGCCTGGCCAGCGTCAGGACGGCTCGCAACTCCCCGTCGAGGACCGCAGCCCCTATACGGCCCAGCAGATCTACGTCGGGAAGAAGTTCATGAAAGCGGCGCCCGCCATCAAGAAGCAGTTCGACGAGGGCAACCGCGAGGAGCGCAAGGTGCTCATCAACTCGCTCGTGCCTCGCGATGTGGCGCACTCGGCTGTGTTCGACATGTCCAAGGCGCAGGCGTGGATCACGCGCCAGATGGCGACCGAGAAGACCGAGGACGAGTTGTGCAAGCAGACGCACCACACCTGGTCGTGGTGGCTCAAGGAGTGGGGCGAGGAGCTTGTCGAGAAGGCCAAGCAGAGGAAGGACCTGGTCGAGGATGCGGACGGCCTCTGGTACGAGCGGTCCAAGGAGCTGACTCGCAGGGTCACCAAGACGGACGAGAACACGACCACGCTGAAGCAGGAGGG